ATATCTGTTTCAGATTTTTTTCCGTTATAGGTTATTATAAGATTTTTAAAAATTAATTAATTAATTAATTTTTGGTTGCGTTGGGTCTTCGTTGCGGTGCGCAGGCTTCTCATTGCGGGGGCTTCTCTTGCTGCGGAGCACGGGCTCTAGGCGCGTCGGCTCAGTAGTTGTGGCTCGCGGGCTCTAGAGCGCAGTCTCAATAGCTGTGGCGCACGGGCTTAGTTGCTCCGCGGCATGTGGGATCTTCCTGGACGAGGGCTCGAACCCGTGTCTCCTGCATTGGCAGGCAGATTCTTAACCACTGCGCCACCAGGGAAGCCCTGCTGCGGAGCCTTAAGGGAATGTGTCATGAGGAGAGGGCATTTTGAACTGGATCTTGAAGGTTAAGTAGAAGTTGGATAAGTCAAAGGAGACAAGGGAACTAGGTAGAGAGAATGTTACGAGCATGGAAAATGTAGAGAGTATTCAGGACGTGGTGAACAGTCTCCAGCACTGGTGCTTGGGGACTGTGAGGCAGGGAATGGGTAGGGATGTAAAGGGATTAAAGGGACAGTAAGATTGGTAAGAACGGGGCCAGATCTTGAATGTGAGACCAGATCCTCTTCACAGCATGTTTGGGAATTCCTGCAGGGTTTAAGGTGAAGTGTCTTGGGAGAAAATAGGAAGAACTGTTTATCAGTTTTTATGTGACGCATGTTGGGGTAGCTTTGCCCTGGAGCCAGGGGCCCTGCCTCATGCTGACATCTGTCCCTGCTGTACCCGACCATGGAAAGCCCTCCATCCCCAAATGTCACCGGCCCATCCTGGCACCTGTTCCTTCACCATCAGGAGGGTTGCCAGGGAGGCGTCCTCTGTGAATGTGCCCTGAGTTGAGGGGCTCTTGTGTTTTTGCAGCTGGCAGAGCTGAGAGGGGTTCCTCGTGGCCTGTATGATGGACCTGTGTGTGAGGTGTCTGTGACACCCAAGACAGTCACTCCGGCCTCCTCGGCTAAGACGTCTCCGGCCAAGCAGCAGGCCCCACCTGTCCGGAACCTGCATCAGTCTGGATTCAGCTTGTCTGGTATGGTTATGGTTTGGTCAGGGCCCAGTTCTGCAGGGCTGTGCTCCGTGTTGCTGGTGGGTCTGGCATCACTTTCGAGAAGGAGAAGTGGAAGTGAATGATGGACCTATTCTTCCCAAAGATGTAACTCACTAGAGATGTAATTCATAGCAGATGATGGGTTGGCTTTCAAGAATCTTGACACGGGTCTATATCACATAGAATGTCATGATGTGTGCACTATGTGTCATACCCAGGATATTACAGGACATTTTTTCAGTGCATCATGTCTATTGTGAAAAAGGATATTGTGGTGTTTTAGGACTCTCTTCCCCCCCACGTATGCAATATACTGTAGTGGTTCAGCTTGTGGAATCTAGAGTTTCAACAGCTTAACTTCGTAGCCCAGATTCGAACTGTGCCTCCCGTCTGCTCACCTATAAGATGGGTATAATGGTAGTAGTTACCTCATGGGGTTGTTCTGAGGATTAAATGACTTAATATACATGTAAAATGCTTAGAATCAAGCCATTTGATAATTGTTAGCTATTTGCCTGGATAAACTATGTGATGTCAGGGGAGGTGAGAGGGAAGAGTCCAGATTTTAGAGCTTCCTTACTTGAACTTCAGTATTTCATTTTGCCTGTGATTAAAAACCTACTTTTCTTGTTCCTTGAGTCACAGATATATATCTAAATTTTTATGGTGGGTTAAAGAAACAGTAAAGCAGATACATTTTTTTTCTTGTCAGATATACTGGTTTTTAGAAAGTTGCCATATACAGATTACCTATTTTCAAAAAATTTAAAAATAATGAAAATTAGTTTTTCCATAAAGTAACATGGGCATGATACAGTCTGTGCTTTCACCAGGCCATTGAAATATAAAGACCATCATGACGCCTGTCTTTTTGTAAAAAATTTTATTGAAGTGTAGTTGATTTACAATGTTGAGCTTAATTTCTGCTGTACAGCAAAGTGACTCTGTTATACGTATATATTCTTTTTCATATTCTTTTCCATTATGGTTTATCACAGGATATTGAATATAGTTCCCTGTGCAATATCTACAAAACAAAAACAGACTCACAGACATAGAGAACAGATTTGTGGTTGCCAAGGGGGAGTGGGGTGGGGGAGGGATGGAGTGGGAGTTTGGGGCTAGCAGATGCAAACTATTATATATAGGATGGATAAACAACAAGGTCCTACTGTATAGCACCGGGAACTATATTTTATGTTCAAGATCATGACTCGTATCTTTGATTACACAGAGGATGGATAGTGTTAGGGGAACAGAATGCACCTCTGGAAAAGCCACACTCGATTTGATCACTGAGAAGGGGGACAGTATGTAGTCTGAGTTGCTCAAAAACCTGAAATACAGTGTCCTTTTACATATAGTTTTACTTTTTAGGTACGGGATCCAGCTAGCTTCTACAAGGATGGCTTTATTCAGTGTGTGATTCCTAGGCCACGTGAGGCCCATCCTTTTTTCGTAGCTTATACTTTTGGTGAGGTTTTAGAAGGACAAAGAATGGGCCTGACACTTTTTCTCCCAAGCTATGTTATTTCGTTACAAAACAGAAATAGAGTCACAGATGTAGAAACCAAACTTATGGTTACCAAGGGGGAAAGGGAGGGGGAGGGATAAATTGGGAGATTGGGATGGACATATACACACGACCATATGTCAAATAGATAATCAACGAGGACCTACCCTATAGGTCAATACTCTGTAATGACCTAGATGGAAATAGAATCTAACAAAGAGTGGATGTATGTATATGGATAACGGACTCACTATGCTGTACAGCAGACACTAACGCACCAGTGTAAATCAACTAGACTCCAATAAAAATTAATTTAAAAAACCCAAGCTATGTTATTTCGGTTTAGAGCAGGGATCCGTATAGCTTTCTCTGACCCTCATCTTCTCTCGTCTCCAGGTGCCCAGATTGATGACAACATTCCCCGCCGCACCACCCAGCGCATCGTGGCGCCCCCTGGTGGCCGTGCTAACATCACCAGCCTGGGCTAGAGTTCAGGGCCGCCGTCGGCTTAGGGATGGGGGATGGGACACCTGAGGACATTCGGAGACCTCCTTCCTTCCTTCCTTCCTTCCTTCTTTTTTTTTTTTTTTTTTTTTTTTTTTTTTTTTTTAAAAAGAGCCTGTGATAGTTACTGTGGGGCAGCCAGTTCCTGGGGCTCCCTTTCGGGCCCCCCGCACTCCGTCCCTCACCCGGAGCCACCAGTTTTGGTCACCCACCTCCCTACACATCTACGAATATCACACCTGCGTCTCTCCACCAGGCCCGTACACAGAACTGCGTCCAACACTCAGACATGCGAAACAAAGCAAATCACAGTGAGGGTGTTGCTCATCTCCAGCCTCTGTTGTGCTTGCATCATCTTCCTTTTCATCGGGGGGAGGGGAAGATAAAGTGAATTGCCCAGAGCTGCCTTTTTCTTTTTAAATTTTTAGAAAAGTTTTCTTTGTGGGGCTGCAGGTGGGGTGGGCAGGGGAAGCGGGGTAGAGGTTTGTTTTTCTTTAAATACTAAATTGGAACGCCTAATGCAATATTAATACAAGGGGTTTGAACTGGACATCCTAATGATGCAATTGTGTCACCTTCAGGCTGATTCAGGGTGGTGGGCAGACTCATCATGTCCCTCCTGAGAGGCTGTACAGCGTCCACACCACCATTCCATCGTCTTCTGGGTCAACTGTTAATAAAGGGCAGGTTTTCTTTCTGGCCTAGATTTTGCTGCAGATGAAATCTTTGGAGGATTCTCTTCTCTCTTGCCCTCTTTTCTGCTTGCACTCTCTCCCTCTTGCTTCTTCATTCATGGATATTTTCATGTGTCTGGTTCTTTCTTTGTGTTTCTTCCAGGCCTCGTCTCTGACACGCTGTTTTTGCCTTCTGTCCCCCATGGTCTTTTCCAGTGACCAGGTCTGCCATTTTACTGTGGCCCCACGAACCTGCCTGGAAAGATATGAGCTTTGTCATCGCAACCATCGTAATGTGCTATCCTAGTCCATATAAGACCAGCGCTACCCACCCACGTCGCCAGGATGTGCGATTGAGTTTGAGATGCTTCCCAGGTGCAGAAAAGGGCCAGGTTATCCACACTGTCACACGCGGGCCCAGGATAGACCTCAAACAGTGCCGAGCTGTTGAGGAAGTCTGAGGCTCTAGGACCTGAGAGTTTTTCCTCTGTGCAATGCTAAGTGGCTAAAGACACAAATCTGTAAATCAAGCCCAACACCCAAGGGAGCCAGTCAGCCTCAAGCCAACCACCAGCTCAGAGGTGCTGAGCTGATGGTGGTCTGGCCCTGAGGGCCTGCTGTTTACCAATTAGGTCGTTTGGGGGATGCCAGAGCACACTGGGCTTCACACTTGGGAGGAAAAGAAATTTGTTTTCTTGTCCAATTATTTAGAAAGACATCACGCAACCTAGGGAAGCCTGCTAAACTCGGGAAACCCATGGGAAATTTGACTTAAAGACCATTTCACTTTGCAAGAGGAAAAATCTGTTTTGTGAGTCAGAGCTCTTGCGGGGAGAAAAGCTTGTAAATTTGACGAGTGGCCCCTTAGAGACCGCAGGCGACCTTGTGTCCACACCCCGCCCTCTCCTGGTCTCGGAGACCCTTTCTACTCTCTGCCTCGTGCTTGTCCCTGTCTTAGCTGAGCTTTGTTGCATCTCCTTCCAAGTGTGTTTACAGGTCCTCCCAAGCCACGTGATGTTTGCAGGCTTTTATAAAACCAAATCTGCTTTTGTAAAGCGTAACATCAAGGAGTAGCTCATCCCATCATGACACTCGTCTCTCCACATGTTTTGCCTTTGGGGTTATGGCTGGGGTTTCTTCTGTTGTTGTTGTTGTTCGTTATTTTAAAAGTAAATTGCACTTTTAAAGAATAATTGGTTAACTTAATATATTTGCTTTTTTTCTTCTCATCTGCCCTTCGAGGGAATTTGAACCAGTCGGAAAAAAAATTTTGTTTCAATTCTGAGAAACGCTTGCAGCTCTCTTCTGTTCACTTGAGTCTTCCTGTTTTTCCATGATGGTCATTTTGGTTATTTCGATTGTTTCCTTCAAACAACTTAAAACCCGAAGATTTCCGCAGGCTGTGTAAGCATGTTTACCTGTTGGCTTGCTTTGTGTGTCTGTTAAATGAATGTCATGTGTAAATGCTAAAATAAATTGACAGTGTCTCAGAACTGAATAACTGCAGTGACCTGATGCTCTAAACCAGTGTAGGATTTAATCATAGATGGTTTTTAATCCTTGGAATTGTGATTGTGACCCACGAGTGGAGGAACTTTCAGTGCTAAAGCTGATTATGTGTGTAGCCAGAAGAGTACCTTTTTTTTTTTTTTTTTTTTTTTTTTGTTACCACTGTCTTAATGGCAAAATAATTATGGTAAAAAAACAAGTCTCGTGTTTATTATTCCTTAAGAACTCTGTGTTATATTACCATGGAACGCCTAATAAAGCAAAATGTGGTTGTTTCTGGGTGTGTCTGTGTTGAGATGTTCAAGGAGGTGGCCGCTCGGCCCGGACCTCCATCAGAACTTCCCTTTCTGGAAAATTCTGGATGCCTTTGGCCTCGTTTTGATGACTGTGTCAATTCAAGTGTTTTCACTGAGTGTTGCGGGTGGTTTTGTCCAGGCCACTGAGGTCTAATTCTGGGCAGAGCCCTGAGTCTCAGAAATTCATAGACTCTACCCCAAGACAGGCCAAGGGAGCCTCCCGAATCGAGCTGCAAACATTAAGTCGGGAATTGTGTCGCCTTCAAGCTGATTCAGAAATCCGGTGGGACCAAGTGGGTTAGTGTAGTGACCCCCGGGATCTGTGCATCCTTAGAGCTTGTGCACTCTGGAAAATCCTCAAGCCACATGGGGGAGCATGGAAGATAAGAGACTGAGATATATGGGCCTGCATCCAGAGTTCAGTTAAGGAGCTTGCAGGAGGGAATTCCCTGGTGGTCCAGTGGTTAAGACTCCGTGCTGTCACTGCTGGGGGCCTGGTTCAATCCCTGTCGCAGGCAAAAAAATAAAAATTAAAAAATAAAATAAAAAGGAGCTTGCAGGAAACCACGACGTAAAGCATACGTTCCTCTACCCTCCAGGCAAGTGCCAAGAATGCACATCGTGGGGGGAGGGTGAGCCATGCCCACTCCTGCCTACCGGGTGCTTGGTTCCCATAGTTAACTTGTTAAATGGCATCGGTATTATTGGTTCACAAAACACTGCACGAGGAGGGTGTGTGCTTGGGGGCTCCCCTGGCCCATCATGTGGTTGATGAAGTCTTTTACTCTTTTCTCTTGTTTTCTATCCAGCCCTATGCAAACAGGATAGAAGGTGATTTACAAAAATAGGCACACTTTCCCAAGCTTTGATGAACAGGGTGTTGGAATTAAGGGAAAATAAGAGCAGGAAAAGTAAGATACGGTCTGCGTTTGGTTGGTACAACACACTGCCATGAGGTGGTAAATTTGTGAGGGAACGCTGAGTGTTCTAGCAACAAATAGAAAAAAAGAGAAACAGCCAGAAGACTGTATAACATCTATAGTGACCCTAAGAGGAATTAGTCCTTCCAAAAGAATACAGGGGTTCCTGGTCCGCAGCCCTGAGGGCAGGTCCTGGTTCCCCCCAAGAATGACAGGATTTCGTGTCTAGGGCTGGAGCTCGTCCTGCCTTCACTGTAGGCTGATGGTAGAGCACCGAGATCTAGGAAAATAGAGCCTGTCCGGGAGAGGAGGGCAAAGAGGCTCCCCCTGACATGGGACCCCTGATAAGAGTTGTGGAAAACCCCAGGCCCAGAGCCAGTCTCCCCCTAGTACCCGCCTGGCTTCACCCCTCTCCAAGACAGTCCTCGCGGTCAGGCCTGTGGACGCTCCGCCCATGTGTCCAAGTCTGGCCCAGCCTCTAGCAAGCAGCCAGTCCAAGGGCCGTCCACACCTGCCGTGAGGCTCGCCTTCTGACGGAGAGGCCCGTGAAGATGCTGGGAAGAGGCTTGTGTCCATCTGAGGAGGAAATTGAAGGCAGGTGGCCAGAGAGCAGGTACTCTGAAGAGGGGAGTCCCATGGGTGCCAGGTGGCTGAACAATGGGGCCAGGTATATAACTGGTGGTATGATTTAATCCAAAGACAGATGTTAGAGCATCTAGAATAAATAAGTGGAGTGGCTATCCTTCAGGAAGTGTTTTTGTGTTGAATTGATGGGAGTTGAAGGTTATACTGTCTGAAAAGTTTCTGCAGTACACGTCCTGTAAGAAAAGGCAGATCTAAAATGAAAATTATCAAATTCAGTATTGAACGAACAAAAACAAAAAAAAAACAAAAAAGAAAGAAAAGGAAAGAAAAGGCAGATCTCCTTTCCTATGAACTGAGATGGGGTTAAGTTTTGATGGTGCTACTGATTAGGTATGTATGTTTGGGAAAGCTGTTTCACATCTATGGGCCTTATTTAGCCTCTCTGTGAGACAGAGGTGATGTTATCTACCCAACCTAACTCCCATAATGGACAAGCCGTAAATCAGATGCGGTGCAGAGTAGAGGAACAGGAAGCTGTCGGGAACGGTGTCCTAAGTGTCTCCTGAAAGAGAAGGTGATTAGCTGATGAAGACTGATGACTGCAGAGGACTTCAGTTGACTGCAGAGACCTCAGAACGATGAGACATCAGAGCTGGTGTCAGTCGTTAAATAAAAACATCTGTTGAAGTCACGCTGATAATAGCAGAGGTTATTATGTGCCAGGCCCTGCTCTAAAGGGCGTTTCACACATTAACTCAGTCTTTGCAGCAACGCAGAAGAAGGTACTATGACTTATACCATCACACAGATGAGGGTACAGAAACACAGAGCGTTAGTGACTTGCCCAGAACCAGGCTTTGGCCCCCGTTCAGTCTGGGGCCAGTGGCCAGGTTAATACTCATGGTGATTCCACTCTCGCTTACGAGAAATCTCCTGCTTAGAAGGGGGGTGGGAAAAGAGAGATGGAAAGTGCCAGAGAATATGACTGTGTAGGTAGTGA